CGCATACCAGTCTGTACCAGTAAAGAGAGAAAGAGTGGACTTGAGGGAGGAAAGCTCTGTCTCAGAAAATGGAATCACCAGAAATCAAGCAGGAGGAGAGACGTGTAGGCAAAAAGAAAAAACTTTTACAAGTTGGGTTAATGAGGTATTTATAGGGAAAGAGATAAGAGGAAATTAGATCTCAACCACTCATTCGGACGAACGAGATCAAAAGCAGGCCGCCTCGAATTCGGCGCGGAAAGCACCGATTGAAATTCCCTCATTATGACCTAGGGAACTCGAATCGACTGCATTGATTGATAGGACAGCAGAAGGCGGTAGAGCACGCTTCCCCATCAAAGATTAAACGCTAAAAACGAACTGTTACCTCGCACTCCATACTCCATATTCATCGAACGGGACAAAACAGAAGTTTTATCTCGCCCGATAATTAAGGAGTAGGGGGGAGTAGTTGATACGGGCCATTCTGGAAAGGTCCAATACGAATTAGGCCCACGACAAAAGGCCCATGGCAATTCAGCCCAATGATATAAAAAGACCATTAGGTCGTACGACCTCAACGACGAACTGCGGAACTTCGGCTCGCAGGCCCAGTATCGGCTCGTGGTAAATCGAGCCCAGGGTTGTAAAAGGCCCAATACACACAATGGCTTGAGGGGGGAAAAACCCTAAAAAGGAAACCTTGGAGGCCAAGGTTTCCTCATTTATAAATAGGGAATGATATTGCGTTTTTCCACACAGATAATATACATTTTTTCACATACTTTTACGTACTTTCTAAAAACTCGCTTTGAAATCATACTGACTTGATCGTCGGAGCTTTCCCGCCGGGAACACCTCCCGGCGTTGCAGGTCTTTTTTCTACCGGAATCCGACAGAGAGCTTAGAGGACGCGAGGAAGAGCCCCACGGACCAAATCAGATATGCTGTTAGAAGCTCAGGAATCTGACGTGGCGGTTTTGGTCGCAGGAGATCCTTTTTGGGTAACTTTTCCTTCTGTTCTGATCTGTTTTTTTGCCTTTGTTTTATTTTTTCAATTTTTAGGTTTAAATCTCTTCAAATTCTAAGCAATTTGTTATATGAAACACGATTTGTATGTTCAGGGTATGATATTTTCAGCACTGTTGCTAAGGAATTAATCCTCAATAATGACAGAAATTGCTTTAAAATCGATGCTAGAATTCCACGAAAATAAACTTGTGCTTAACCGATCATGTAGCCCGTTCACATAAGAGTATAAGACTATCTGCAGCTCGTTTGTCTTATCATTCACATCTTTCGTCTTCTTTAAATCTTAGTCTTAGCACTTGCGATTTTTTCATTCTCATTAAAATGATGATTAATATTGGGTGAATTTGGTTGCAGATCGACTACACACTCTGATCTTGTTGTCCGAGCAAAAAAAATTGGCGCTCATGTCAAAGTGGTGCACAATGCTTCCGTAATGAATGCTATTGGTGTTTGTGAACTGCAGATCTACCGATATGGAGAGACAATTCCGAATACCTTTCTTTACCAATAAATGGAGTCCCCACAGTTTTTACGAAAAGATTAAAAGAAATCGAGTGCTTGGATTGCATACACTGTACTTGTTAGGTAAAGTAGGCATTATGCATAATTGAACCCATTGTGTTCTCTTAATTATGTTATCTTATTTTGCGCATTTTGGTAATTTATTGCAGATATACGAGTGAAGGAACCTTCACTAGACTCCTTGTGCAGGTTAGACATGTCAACTAATTGCACATTTGCTCCAATTATTTTGTTTATTTTTGAAATTGTAGTATACAATGAAGACTCAAATTTGTGTCGGTTTCGCTCGAATTGGTTGTGAAGATGAGGTGATAGTTTGCGGGTTCGATGAAGCAACTTGTGACGGTAAACTTTGGCGCCCCTTTACACTGCCCTCGTCATAGTAGGCGACACTCACCCTGTCGAAGAAGAAACGCTCGAGTTCTACAAAATTGATGCACGGTAAACTTTTCTTTCTTTCTCTAATAATAGATATTTCTTACATACTATTTTACTAACTATATAGTTAGTCGTCTTAAAAAAAACGAATTAGTTAGTCAATAAGAATTAATACTAATCCATAATAATGAAACAAAGTCTTAAAAATGTTTTTCATCATCTATTTATTGCTTTGTAATTCAAAAATATTATTCTATTATTAATTACGCATGTACAGTAGAACCTCGATAAAATTAATAAACTCGTTTGAATAAAATATTTGGTCCCGACTCGGTAAAAACCCACTACATTATTAGTTCGATTCCCATCCTTTTTACTTTTTGTAAGAATTGACAATAATATAAACTTCATCTTCTATTGGATTAGTTTATGGCCACGTGGAGGCTTACGTTTGCTACTATTGGATTAATTTATGGCCCCATAAATCCAAGCTGGACCTGTCAACTATTGTCCTATGTGATTTTAAGAGGAATTAAGGTTTATCTGCAGACAATACTAAGAAAAATAATAATAATAATAAATTACTCGTTTTAATGAATTTAATGCATGAATTTAATGAATTTATTATTAGTCTCTACCCTCTTCATTTTCATTTTAAGTGTTTATTTAGTCATACATTTTTTCTCCATATTATGTGTCATTTAGAGTTTCAAGGTATACTTAATTCGCTTTTGATACTTTTGCCCTTGATCACTAATGGATATTATATGTGCATGTATAAAATATTTAATATTTTTATTATATATATAAAGGGTGATTTTGAGTTTTTCTATTACAATGAGCTTACATTAGAACCTCATGAATAAATTAATAACTTCACTTAAATAATAGTTTCTTTTGGTCCCAATTCGATAAAAACTTACTAAATTATTAGTTCGATAATTTGATATTTTGCTAAATTAATATAATTTTGCTAGTCTAGATTGTATTAATTTATAGAGGTTTAACTGTATTTATTAAATTAAATTGAGTGAGTATTAAAATTCATGCAAACTACAGCAATCTGAGTTTTAGCCTTTTTTTTTTTATTTTTTTTTATTTTTAATTATTATTATTATTAAAAAAAAAATCTCTAATAACGTGTGGACTTGTGGAGTTTGTAATGATGAAAAATGCCATAATCTAATTTGGGAAAAAAAGATTGCTTTCATTTCATGTCTCCATGGTTTGTTAAAATGTGATGATGGGAAATGATAATTGAAACATTGGGTAATTACAATCTATGTATTGTCTTATACGTGAATTGTTACGCCATCAAATTTACTTACTGACTGAGAGGTTTTTCTCGTAAGACAAGTTGATGGGCGATTGTAATTACCTAAATAAAATAAGTTTTTTTATAATTTGATCTTACCTATGAACCACGTGAACGTAATTTTTCAAAAGAAAAAAAAATGGTGAAAATAAATGACGATAAATCGTGGGATACCTGTCTTGGGACCCATAATTGCTTCCATGCTTCAAGCTAACGAAATGGGAACTTTAATTTATTAAACTATATAATAAATAAAACAGCTGTCCTTCATTTCCTCTATGTATGCTGGTTTCTGTTTTGAATCAATCGTGTGAAGTTATTTTTAGAAAACAATAATGTATTTATTATTTATTTAGAAAAAAAACATATCAAAAGACATGTCCGGTTTATTTTTGGTATATTAACTTTACTCATTAGATTTTTTTAAGGGTTCATTCACCATTTAAAGTTGCATGCTATTTTAAATTAATTACCTCTTAGCAATTTTTAACTTTGATCGTTGCCCGAATGTGGAACTTAGTCTTTCGATTATTTTTTAGGTTGGCGAATGAGTTTTTACTCTTCTGTGTTATTTCTGACACGTAGCAGTAATACTCGGAATTTTCTAATTACTTGAATTTGAAGACCCGTTTCGTATTTTCATTTTCGAATAACATGACATAGGATTCAAATTAAAGTGTAATTAAGAATACTTAAAAAAAAAAAGTAGAAAATGACATAAAATTAATCTCCTTTAGCTTACCTAGTAAAACTGTCCACAAGGTTCCATAACCTAATCCGTGACAAACACATGACCTCAAAATTAGTGATTACTAATTACAAAAGTAACTACATTTCTAATACAAAAATGAAAGAATTAAAGAAAGCGATTCCGCCCACCTCCTGTTGTGGCGCGTGAATTCATTTCCCAAATTACAATCGCTGCATCTTTGAGCGTGGATGTCACGCTCCATGCCGCGTTTGGAGATGAGCACCACAAGACAAACATAACCCGTAATCGGATCAAAGTATTGGACCGACCGTATGTATTGGGATCGAACCCGAGGGGAATCTTTGCTCTTTGCGTATGAATTATTTATAGATAACCCCAGTTTATTAGAAAAAGAAAAGCTTTTTAGCAAATAGCCAAACAGGCCCTTATTTTTAATTTTCTTCATGTTTTTGCTATTTTAATATATAAATTCAGAAAAACTTTTCCCAAAAATAAGAATAACAGAGATGAACTCCATTTTACTTTATCGGAAGAAACAATAAGCAGAAGTCTCGAAAGTGGGTCCCACTTTCGGAACCACCAATTGTGGTGTTCAAAAACCAGCTGGACTGTGCCCAATTCTTTTGCCCAAGTCTAGAAACCACATTTAATATACAGCAATCTAGGCTGATAACTCACACCGAGCTTGCCCAAATGCAATTTTTTTTTTTTTTTATATATATATATATATATATATATATATATATATATAGATTGATAATACACACACAGACACACGTACACATTAGACTGTGTGTGCAGTTTCTCACTCACTATTTAATACTGCATAGGAAAAAAATCTAGTATAACGAAAAAGGAAGCAGGGAAAAACTCAAGACAAAGGGTAACAGCTGTTGGCCTTGTTTTCTTGATTTTTGGTTCTTAAAGTTTGCATCTTTTTTCTTTATTTCTCTCTCTCTCTCTCTCTCTCTCTCTCTCTCTATAATCGAAAGAAGAATAGAATAAAGTGGTGAAAAGAAAAAAGAAAGGAAAAGAAAAAGGGAAAGGTGATTCAATTCATTGCTTTTTTTTCTAAATAGAAGAGGTTTCTTGAATTTTCTGGCATTATTGGGTTTTGCAATTAGCAATGTGGAATGGGTTTCTGGTTTGGGTGGTGGTGGTGCTATTTTGCTCATTGATTTATTGTGTAGAAGCTTCTGTTTCATATGATTCCAAGGCCATTTCTGTAAATGGCCAGAAGAAAATTCTCATTTCTGGATCCATTCACTATCCAAGAAGCACCCCTGAGGTATTTCTTCCTCTGTGTGTGTGTGTGTGTGTGTGTGTGTGTGTGTGTGTGTGTGTGTGTGTGTGTGTGTTTATAGCTATTAAAAAAAATTAATGTTTGATAATACTTAATGGGATAATGTAGATGTGGCCAGATCTTATTGAGAAAGCTAAAGAAGGTGGTTTGGATGTGATTCAGACATATGTTTTCTGGAATGGGCATGAACCTGAACCTGGCAAGGTCAGTTCTGTATTTATTGTGTGTGTGTGTGTGTGTGTGTGTGTGTATATAGTGTGTGTAATTTGTAATTATATTTGATTTTCTCAGTAATATTTATTTAGTTTTAATTTTGGTTTTATGCAGTATTATTTTGAAGAGAGGTATGATTTGGTGAAGTTTATTAAGCTGGTGCAACAAGCTGGGCTTTATGTTAATCTCAGAATTGGTCCCTATGCTTGTGCTGAATGGAACTTTGGGTAATAATGCAGACGATTTTTTTTTTAATTTTTAATTTTATTTTATCAATTTCTATTACAGAATGTTTAAGGTTGTTTTCTGTTTCAGGGGTTTCCCAGTTTGGCTAAAGTATGTTCCAGGCATCAGTTTCAGGACGAACAACGAGCCTTTCAAGGTTGGCATACAGACTTATATGTATATATATTACATATATATAGCTGAGTTCTGTTTAACATCTTATTCCTATTTGTGCCGGATTTTTTTTTTGGCGTATGACGAAAGGCGGCAATGCAAAATTTCACAACCAAGATTGTGAATATGATGAAAGACGAAGAGTTGTACGAAACTCAAGGTGGTCCGATCATATTATCGCAGGTAGTAAAAAGAAAAACGCTTTCGTTTCGCCGTGTTTCTGAATATGTCCATTTTAGGAGGCTAAATAAAAAAAAAAAATATTATGTTTTTTTATGATTAGATCGAAAATGAATATGGACCAATGGAATACGAGCTCGGTGAACCCGGAAAAGCTTATACTGAATGGGCGGCTAAGATGGCTGTGGATCTTGACACTGGTGTTCCGTGGATAATGTGCAAGCAAGACGATGCCCCTGATCCAATTGTAAGTATTGAATTTATTTATCTATTTATTTTTATTTATTTATTCATTTCATTTGTTTGATAGTTCTAAATTATGTTTTTCGCCATCATCAATATTCAATAATATATTTAAGATCTTGTCACTCTTGCACATGTCTTGTCTTCCTCACTCTATTATGCCATTCTGTTTTGTTTTTTGTCTTAATTTAATAGTCACAGACCTGTTGATCTTTTTTTCGTTTGCATCTGACTGTTGACTAGAATTATTACACATATAAATATAATTATATACTTAAATATATAATTATATAATTACTGTTCTTGATATCTGTTCTGTTTTTTTTTTTTTTTTTTTTTTTTTGCTCTTGCAGATTAATACATGCAATGGTTTCTACTGTGATTACTTCTCTCCTAATAAGGCTTATAAACCAAAGATGTGGACCGAAGCATGGACTGGCTGGTACTTACGAAACTAGCTCTGTAATAACATCTATTTTTGGAGGGAAGAAAAAATATTCAACGAGTTCTTACAACATAATTTTACAGGTTTACTGAATTTGGCGGTCCAGTTCCGTACCGACCGGCTGAAGATTTGGCATTCTCTGTTGCCAAATTTATTCAAAAAGGAGGGTCTTTCATTAACTATTATATGGTAATTTAATTTCCCGGAAATTTACCAATTGAACATAATTAGTGATAAATGTTTGCTAAATATTTATTTTGTAATTATTTTCTGTCAGTATCATGGAGGAACAAACTTCGGTAGGACCGCCGGTGGTCCGTTTATCGCAACTAGCTATGACTACGACGCACCTCTCGATGAATACGGTATAAACAAAAAGAATCGTATAAAACCAGTAACATGCGAGTTTCCAATGTATATATTATGCTTTTAACAAAATATATATTCTTTAAATTTTATAGGATTATTGAGGCAGCCTAAATGGGGCCATTTGAAAGATTTGCATAGAGCAATCAAGCTTTGCGAGCCGGCTCTCGTATCTGGCGACCCTATTGTTACTCCACTTGGAAACTATCAAGAGGTTAATTTTTTTATTTTTTATTTTAAATTTTGTTTAATATACAAATTAACCTTAAAAACAACCTTAATTTTGGTAATGCAGGCTCATGTGTTCAAATCGAGGGCCGGTGCGTGTGCTGCTTTTCTTGCAAATTACAATCAGCATTCATTCGCAAAGGTGTCGTTTGGGAATATGCACTACAATTTACCCCCTTGGTCTATCAGCATTCTTCCCGATTGCAAGAACACTGTTTATAATACAGCAAGGGTAATAAATAAATACATAAATATACTTTTTAATATCTCAGATTCATATAATGGCAATTATAGTCGAATCTTGATATACATTTCATTTTTTTTTGTTTTTTTTTGGTGTGAAGATTGGTTCCCAAAGTGCACAAATGAAGATGACACCTGTCAGTAAAGAATTTTCATGGCAGTCGTACGATGAAGAGACAGCATCACTGGAAGAAAATTCGTTCACGATGGTTGGATTGGTGGAGCAGATCAATACAACTAGAGATAACACCGACTATTTGTGGTACACAACGGAGTAAGTGTTGTACTTAGCCGTGGAATAAAAAACTAGACCCTCGTTTTTTTCCAACAATTGAACATTTTCTTGTTTGTTTTATTTGTTTGTTTTGTTTATTTCAGGGTGACGATTGATACCAGTGAAGGGTTTTTTCGAGGTGGTCAATTGCCGTCCCTTACGGTATTATCTGCGGGCCATGCGTTGCATGTATTTATCAACGGACAAATATCAGGTTAATATTTCGTCTATAGCATGTTTCTCTGAGACATTCGAAATCATTTCTTGATAATATAATATTTATTTTAGGAGCAGAAATTATAATTTTTTGGGACATCATTCAGTGAAAATTGGAAGGGAAATTCTCGGTTCCAATCGGAAAATTTTCGAATTTGAAACAATATTTCTCATTCAGAATTCCAATTTTTCTGATTTTCTTTTGTGGAGCAGAACTGGAACACGTTTAGATTACAATTTTCGATCCGATTTTAATTTCCGAACATTCCGACTTCTTTTCAAAAGATTACACTTGTAATATCAATATTACTATTTATTTTGTATATTAGGTGACCAAAAAATTGGGATTTCCAAATCCCGCCGATTTCGGTCCGAAAATTTATGATTAGTATTTTCATTCCAATTTCCGAAATTCCTTTTTCCGTTTTTCCCAAAATGGAATGGAATTTGTTCTTCACTTCCGAAAAAATTGATTTTTTTCTTTTTGAAGTTGCTATATTCCGACCGATTTCCTCCCCGAAGATTCACTCATCTTATTTACGTAATTTTTTTCCACAGGAACTGCCTATGGAAGTCTAGAAAACCCTAGGTTAACTTTCAACGAAGCAGTGAATTTGAGAGCAGGAGTTAATCAAATTTCTCTTCTTAGCATTGCTGTTGGTCTCCCGGTTCGTACTTTCTTCTTATACAGTGCAAGCCCATATTCTTTTAGCCAACACAAAATTGTGTTTGAAGAATTTCTTTAGATTTCGTTCTGTATATGTTACATGCATGAAATAACTTCGTTTTTTTTTTCACTTATCATCTCAGAATATTGGACCACATTTCGAAACATGGAATGCCGGTATTCTTGGTCCTGTTTCAGTCAGCGGACTTAACGAAGGGAAACGAGACTTAACATGGCAAAAATGGTCGTATAAGGTTTGTTCACTAAAAAAATCAAGATTGTCTTGTTTTCTACGATTTATTTATCTTGTAATAACTTCGAATTTTTTGTTCCGAAAAAAAGGTTGGTCTAACGGGAGAATCTCTGAGCCTTCATTCACTTAGTGGGAGCTCTTCTGTAGAATGGGTTGAGGGATTGTACGTCACCGAAAGACAACCTTTGACATGGTACAAGGTGAGTGTACGAGGTTAATTATATACACATATACATACGGTTATATAAATTTTCACTGAGCCTCTGATTATATATTTCCCTGTTTTTATTTTTTATTTTTGCAAGACTACTTTCAATGCTCCAGAGGGAGACGAGCCCCTGGCTTTAGATATGAATACAATGAGTAAAGGTCAGATTTGGATAAATGGAGAAAGCATCGGCAGATATTGGAATCAATACAAAGCATCTGGCGAATGTGTCCCCTGCAATTATACTGGTTGGTTCGACGAGAAAAAATGCCTTAGCAAATGCGACGAAGCTTCTCAAAGATGGTAATCTCTCTCTCTCTCTCTCTCTCTCTCTCTATATATATATATATATATATATGAAATTGTTTTGACGATAAATTGGTTTATACCTTTCAAGGTACCATGTCCCACGATCGTGGCTTCGGCCAAGCGGAAATCTATTGGTCGTATTTGAAGAGTGGGGAGGAAACCCTAATGGGATCTCTCTAGTGAAAAGAGAAGTCGAAAGTGTATGCGCTGATATATACGAATGGCAGCCAAATTTAATGAATTGGCAAATGCAATCGTCGGGCAAAGTCACTAAGGCATTGAGGCCTAAAGCTCACCTCTCGTGTGCTCCCGGTCAAAAAATCTCGTCAGTCAAATTCGCTAGCTTCGGAACTCCCGAGGGAGCTTGTGGAAGCTTCCGTCAAGGAAGTTGCCACGCGTTTCACTCTTACGACGTTTTTGAAAGGGTAACTATTTACTAAAAAAATTCACCATTTTTTTTAATTTTAATTTTAATTTATTTTATTATTTTTATTTCTTTGTAGTATTGTGTGGGACAGCAATCTTGCTCGGTGCCTATAACGCCGGAGATATTTGGAGGGGATCCGTGTCCGAATATCATGAAGAAACTTTCTGTGGAAGCTGTCTGCAGTTAAATCTATTACAGGTCCTAGGATGTTCTGATCTTTTTTAAGGTGGTTTTGAGAAACCGTCGTAATATTTTACGACGGCCATTTTTTCGTTTGGGTATTTTTGATGGTGGTGAAGTTGTACATACATGCAACACACCATAACTAGTCAAAAAGCCTCGGTCGATTATTTTTGAAAGGTGATTCAAGAAAGAGAATGTATATATACATACAGACAGTAAAAATTGTCGTCTAGAATGCACGTTTGTGATGATGAAACGAGTCCATGTGCGAAAAATCGCCGGTCTTTTTAGGACATCGTAAGATCTGATTCCTCCTTTTTATTTTTTAATTTATAATTATTTATAAATATATGTGTGTAGAAAACAATGAACAAAGTCGAAAGAAAGAAAATTCGGAGTTCATATTACGTATCGCAATCGGACGTCTTTCCAAAATTGGACATCTTACTCTTACGTACCAACAAAAAACCTAGAAGAAACTAATTTCGAGACTAAACCACTAGTGTACAAATGCTCACGGAAAAAGCGGAGTTCTTAACATGACTCGGGAGTCGGGATAATTATCAGCCAATTACTTACCCGTTACGACCAACCGATTTTGGTGACTATTGAAAACTATTACCGGCCCGATTATAGGTATACGCAACCGAAGCAAGTTGATGGACATATAAGTTGGGACTAATTGGGCTAAAAAAAAGCCCAACAAACCCCACTTTAAAGTAAATAGGGTTCTAACTTCGAAAAACTATATTTAATATATGGTCAAATGTAGGGTTATCAACATTAATTTAATGATAATTTGTCTTGTTTACAAAGATGCATCAATTTCAGTCAACCCACTTCCTCTTTTAAGCACTAAAGTACAAAAAAACCCAATTCAAACGGTTTTATTTAGAATCTCAATTTCCTGTTAACCCAAATTAATTAATAAAAAATAATAATAATAAATAAAAAATAAATTTGTGGAATAAAAACAAAAAAAAAAAAAAAAAAAAAACCAGATTGAGTAAGAAGTTACATCAATCCACCTGCTGCAAAATCCCAAATCAAGTCTCAGTCTTTTGTTTCTATTTCACCCCACTTCACAAGTATATCCGATACACACGCGCCCACGCACGCGCCCCCACACACACACACACTGAAAGAGCGAGCGCACACATTTTCTCCTTTTTTCTTCTTCTTCCATGGCGGCCACCACCACACAAGCTGTTTTCCTCATCACTCTCTCTCCACACAATCCACCGCCTCACGATTCCTTCTTCCACATTGCGATGATTTCTTCCTTCTTCGTCTTCCTTTTTCTCACTCTATTTCTCCTCATTTTCACCCTGTACAAAATCCTGAAGAATTACAACCACTGTAAAATGGAAAACCCATCCGTAAAAATCCAGTCTTTCCCTGTAAATGACGACGACGAAAAGACAGCCCACGAATCGGGCTGCGGACCCGACCCGGATAATTTGACCCGTTCGTTGCTTATCGAGATCTTGCCCTCGAGCTCGCCCGAATGGAATACCCTATTTAGTAAGAGCGAAGATTTTGATGAAGACCCGGCCGAGAAAAGCGGGTCGGGTCAGGAAGAGAAGAAGAGGAAGAAGAAGCGGGCCAGGAAGAAAAAGCCCGACCCGAATGAAGAGGAGAGTAAAAAGGAGAAGGAAGAGTTTGTGTGTTTGTATCCATTCACAAAGTCATCCAGTGCTACGCAGAGGAAGATCAAACAGCAGTATGATCAACTTGTCAAGTCTCATGGATCAAATGGATTGACTCTTGATCAGGTTTAAGGTTTATTTATATATATATAATTTTTTTTTATTAATTAATTTTTGATTTTTTTGTTTTGTTTTTGTTTTTGTTTTGTTCACATTATTATTATTTTAATTGCAAGTGTTTTATGAATGATGCCAAAGTTATATGTTGGTGGGCTATTATTATTCAATGCTCTGATTATGGCTACCAAAATTATTTTAAAAGTTTTTGTTTTCGAAAAGAAGGGCCCTTCATTTGATTGAATTATTTGTTTCGATGTTTTTTCGTGTTATTGTAAGTGTTTCGATATATGCTTTGCATTGATGTACTTGCTAGTGCATCCTATATAGTTTACATTATTCGGACTGACTTTGACAGCATGATTCCCTTTTGCATGTATGTATCGTGTTGTATTGAGTTGTTCAGAAGAATTACCGATTTCCGTGCTTTAAAAGTTAGAATCGAAGGAATTAAATATAGAAGATGAAGGTTTAGGGGAATCGAGACAATATTTGCCTAGTTCTTATATAATGTATAGGATCAAGACTTTTGAACACATAAGTGGTTGTTTTAGTTTTACGGAAAAAAAAAAGACTAAAACGTTTAAAGTATCTCAAATTATAAAGTACAAGGCATTATAAATGGAGTTTGATTTCTCGTTAATGTTTTTAGTATCGCAACTCAACTGATTTAGATTGCCCTTTTCAGCCACATAAGCTTACATATTATCTTGAATAGTGTATTACTTAGAGAATCGTGTCAAATGCGTGGTATTGGGGTGCGGAGGTTAGTATTTAGTTCAAGGGTTCAATTCTCTCTCTCGATCTCGATTTTTGATTTGTGATTATTGGTGTATTATCTCGATTTTTGGTGGATGCAATGGCGGATGATAGCTACAGTTGCTTCACTTTCTTGTTTACAGTTCACTTTCTTGTTCACTGTCAATGGAAGATAATTTGGTTCCAGAATTCGAGTTGAAAAATCAAGTTTCTTTGTATTTAGTTAATCTTGAAAGTGTTTGATACGTGACCTACCTTTCAATAAACGAACCATGATTTGAATTAAGACAAGTTAGAGTCGGATATATTTGATTTCTATTTGGGCCGAAGCAAGTCGAGAAATTCGTTACCTAGGTTTCTGCTTACAGTTAAAATAGTTGTCTTATCATAGCGTTATGCAAATGTTATATCAGCCACTAAGGCATCTGACTTGGAATTCCGTATTTGATTAGTACTATGTTTTTTTTTTCTTTTTCGCATGCATTGCAGGTTGGACAATTTGTCAATTGCCTTGTCGAGGCGAGAAACGAGCTGCAGAGCAAGTACGTTTACAGCATTTTGTCTCTATAGAGTCTTAATTCATATTCGATACTGTGTTTATCTCTCTCTTTAACTTCACTCGGAACTTCTATCGTTAAACTAGTTTTATTTACGCTGAAAATATTAATTTTGCGACACAATATCGGCACACTGCTCTTAATTGCGATTACCTGGTAAACAAACAGGTCTGAGGTTATCAAGCGAAGATTCACAATTACAAAGGCCCTGTTATTCAAGGCTGACAGGTCGTCGTTCGATCGCCTTCGTCAACAGGTGCTGGAATATCGGTCTTTTTTTTTATTTATCTAATTTATTGTTTTCGGAGTCGAAAAAATTTATATTCTTTATTATTTATTGTATAGATCTATAAGCTAGAATTGGAGCAGAAGAGATTAGAAGAGGATGCTTTTGTATATAACTGGCTTCAAGAACAGCTTAAAGTCTCTCCTGCATACAAGAAGGTACTGCTTTTTGACTCGTAATTCGAAAAACTCGATTCATTAAATTAATTATATCCGTTCTAGCTGTGCTCGTTTGGTTTGTACGATAAGTACCCATAATTATGAAGAAAAAAAAAAGCTCTCATCTTAAGATTGCATAATCTTGTCTTCGATAATCCTATCTTGATAACCAAACAGAGGCCTAATTGTTTTTTTTTTTTGGGTTGATTTGGCTTTAATTTTTGAAGATGCTCGAACTTGGTGCATCGGTGGAGATGAAAGCGAAATCTATGAAGAGTAATGATTCCGAATATTCTGATATATCGTTCGAAGAGTTGCTTGCGCAGGAGAAGAAGGATGTGTTTTGGTTGGTTATGCTAATCTCGAGACTTTTGATTCTTTGTTCTATCAAATAAATGCTTACTCGATACTAACGAAAAAAGAATGATTTCTTTATGCAGGCAGAGGAACGGGAGGCGTAAATTGTGTTCGAGCTGAGGGAAGGACTTTTTGGGGGGAGCTTAATTTTAGAAATAACAGTATATGTATACATCCAATACCCAAAAACCTTGCAGAAAAATTTTGTGCTGCCTCTTTGAATTTGATTTCGAACGAAATCACGAGCGTTAATGTTTTAATGATCCTTTATAGTTTTCGCCTTGGAGGTTCGATGCGTAGTGCAAGTAGATGTTCTGTAAATTATAAGATATACAAAAGAAATATGGCAAAGTTGACCAATGATATACGATAAAAATGTAAATGGAGATACGAGGATGAAAACCAGAATACATAATAAACAACAACATACGTTGCCTTATATGGAGAAAAGTTCGATTAAAACTAAGATCTTCAACTTCGGTCACAGGTTCCTTAATAAACTATCTTCGTATCGGGAAGAAAAAAAAAGCAAGAAGATTAAAGTACAAGCCAAACCCGACATCGGTAGCAGAAAATTGAGGTTTAGCAGGCAGTGAAAAATATACACTGGATAACAACATTTAACTTTCTCTTTTCATGATTCATCCACGTCCCAAATACAGTCCTACATTATCGTTGAATTCCGTAACCGTGATTTCCTACATCAATCGATTTTCACCGAGGAATATATCTTCCTAACGAACCAGAAGCAAGCGTAGAAGCCAATTGTCCCCGTCAAGACAAAGAAAGCATACGATGCAATGAGCATGTAGCCAAAGTAGAAAATACCCGAAACCAGCTTCGTAATTTCCAACTTGGTGAAGAAGTAGAAAGCCGAGTACAAGAAAAGGTACAAAGCGGACGAGCCAGCTGTCAAGTAAGCTCTCCACCACCAGTTATAGTCTTCGCTGCATAACTGGAAGTAGCAAAGGACAACTGTTATCTCTGCAGATGTGACTATCAAGATCACAAAGACTATGAAGAGGAAGCCGAAGATGTAATAGAACTGGTTCAGCCATATCGAAGTCAAGATGAAGAACAGTTCGATGAAAACGGCACCAAATGGAAGAATGCCTCCGATTAGTATAGAGAATATCGGTTTCATGTACCAGGCCTGTTCAGGTACTTGTCTCGGAATTTTATTGGTCTTTACAGGATCTTCCATCGCGGGTTTTTTGAAGCCCAAGAAACTACCGACAAATACCAACGGCACCGATATTCCAAACCATAAACAGACAAGGGCAAACATTGTACCAAAGGGCACAGCTCCAGATGATTTTTCTCCCCAGATAAGTGCATTCAGTACGAAGAAGATAGCGAATAGAATTCCAGGGAACATGAATGCCGTTTTTAAGGTGTTCCTCTTCCATTCGGTGCCTTTGAACATTTTGTAGAGACGAGCGGAAGAGTAGCCACCGAATAATCCCATGAACACCCACAACAGAACCATGGCAGTCATAAGTCCGCCTCGATTGGACGGAGAGAGAAAACCTAGCAATGCGAAGATCATTGTCACAAGTGTCATTCCGAAGATTTGAACGCCGGTTCCCACATAGACACAGAGCAATCCGGAGTTTAGAGGTGCTCGAAAAACATCTCCATGGACGAGTTTCCATCCAGTTTCTTCTTGAGCTTCGTCTTGGGTTTCCAGTTGGTTGTAGTTTGCAATGTCTCTGTAAAGGGTTCTCATCATTATCATGGCAACCATACCAGAAAGGAAGAGGACAATCATCAAAGAGTTGATGATTGAGAACCAATGAATTTGATCGTCATTCATGAGGAGGTAGGTATCCCACCGTGACGCCCACTTAATATTACTTTCCTACAATAGAAATTGTATTGTTATTGTGGTAGAAATAATAAAATATCCCAGCAAAAGAAAAGTAAAAAAATCTACGGTTGTACCTTGAAAGTAACATCATAAGTAAATACGACTTCTTTGCCTTTTTCCACTTCTTGAGGAACGTTGTTCCCCTGAATCAAATTTTTGGTGTTCTGGTTGCATGTTGGCACATTAGGGTTCTTCTCATCCCACTCCTTGTACTCATGGTTAATACTGTTGGAAAGAGTTTAAGTTAAAGTGTTCAAATGTCACAATAAATGAACTCTTCTACGACCCAATATTTGATACAAAAGGAATCCATATATTGATTTTAGCCTCAGAGAAATTTCTGACAACAGCTTTTGAAAGTCATTTAATGTATGCATATTTAAGGAGAGTCAAGTCTAATTATTGAAAGCAACAAACCTGCCAGGAGAGACTTCAAATCCAACAATTCGAGCGGAATCAGTTTCAGGATCTTTATGATACATAACTCTGAAGCTTAAGTGGTTATGAATAAAATATTTCTCATCTTTGCTCTGGAAAAGAAGGTAAATGCATTAGAAAAATTGCACTAAACATAAAATTTTCCAGACAAGAAAGAAAGAGTTAGGTCTGACCCCAGCATAATTCCCTTTGAACCCAATACGAAAACCATGCTCGTAAGTTGTTGAAGGAATTCCATCTCTCCTTTGCCTAAGTACAGCTACTGGAAGGTTATCTAGGATCCTGCATGCAATTGCAGAAGTTAACATATGTGAAGAATCATCTCAGACGACATTATCATTTTTCATGATTCAGACATATACGACATGCAACAGGAAAATCAGGAAAACGTAAAAGATGTAATGAAGGCAAAAAGGAGGTAACAGCACAAAGAAAATGAAGGTGGACATCATCCAGAACTTACATATTGGCTCTGTACTCATCATCAATTTTTTCCTTAAAATCCTTTGCAGCTTGAGTATCAAGACTAACTTTGCAAGCAACAGTGCACGACTGCTCTTCCCTCATGTGAAACTAATTTTAACCCATTACCAGAATGCCCATGTTAGGATTACTCAAAATAACATGAAGAAATAACATGTCAGAGCTGACTAGAGTCATGAACTGGTCATGAATGCTTACAGTATAAATAGAATTCTCTATACGGTCTCCTCGAAGAACTTCTCCAAGGTTTTCCGCAACATTCTGGATTTTAGCTGGCTTGCAGTATTTCAAGAAATAGAAATCATATGGAAGTTGTGTCTTAGTAGATGATAGCTTGTTCACTTTGACCTGAAGTTCATCTCCCTGTGAAGAATCAGAAGAAATAATCATTATGTTTAGAAAAATCACAAAAAAACTGCACAAGCTAAAATATGATCGTCACCATTTTTGATCGGGAAAGAAGAAAACTAGCGAACCAAAAATTAAAAACCATTAGATCCTAATAAATTTTAAATGAATATAAATACTACGTTGATGTAAATTACTTACTAAACTACCAACCATAACGATAAATAGAACTAAAGACACTGCAGAAGCATTCATCTGAAATGAAGCATAATAAAATGGCTGTTTTTTTTATATTTTTTATTCGTTCCTTATCCTTAAAGAGAGCAATTTGTGAAATACCAGATCTAAAAAAACAGGTTGCTAATCTATCAGCAGCTAATAAAATGTATATGCTTCCCCGTTTAGCTCAACAATGTCTTACTCATTGATGATAAAAATGAAGAAACTCATGCATTAGCACAAGAACAATCGGGCTTAAAACAAAAGTATGACATTAGTCAAAGAAAGACTAAAATTTCTCATCCATCTATAATAACTTTGTGCATCAGCATCAAATAACTACCGTCAAAATGGTGCCACGTTGTCTAGAGATCCTTCCACATCCATATTCACATGTTACTACAATATGACACGAGATCAAATCCAGACCATATAATACTATAAGTCAACTATTCACATCAATTATCACAAAATATTAGAAAATTCTAAACTTTTAGCCCCAAAAAAATATCACAAATAAAACCTAGAAAGATAACAAATCATCAAGTATTACTAGAGAGAATTAGCTGCAATTTATCAATTATCACCAAATCGTAATGCCATAAACTTGAATAAGTTCAAATACACAAATTCTACATGTCTAAACATTAACACGAAAAAAAAAATTAAAAACCAATTTTATACTAAATCAGCAGCCAAAACCCTGGATCAATCCAACTTTCAGTTAACAGTATTAGATGAACGTATAAACCCCGGAATCTGGGTAATCATCCACACCACTGAAACTAGAAACAATTCAAACTATCTATAAATCAGATGCACTACTCAATAATCTACAGATCAAAGGTTTATCAGATTTAAGCTTCCAAAAAAAGACTGAAAATTTGACAAGTGTAAGATAAAAAATCAGTACATTTAGAAAATCGCGAGGTGCAACACCAGGGAGGTAGAAGGAGTGCCCAGTTGTGAACAAGAGAAGCGAGCAGAAAACAATGGCGACGACCCGACCGGAAATTCGTAGACCCATTTTTCGCGATTCGGATTCTCCACTCTGAGCGAGAGAGAGAGAGAGAGAATAGAGAGAGAGGGGTTTTATTGGATCTGCGGTGGAGAATTATCAATTATTTATTCCAGAAGAGAAAACACCCAAAGTCGTGTTTCAGAAACGCGACTTTCCATTTGAGATTTCACGTGTTTGGTAAAATGCCTTAACTCGTAAGTTTAATTTATTATATTATTTATTAGTGGAGATTTGCGATCAACAACTAATTTAAATTTGATTAACGTTATAATTGTATGTGCCAAAAATAGAGTATAAAAGCTGGAATTATGGTCTGTATTAAATTAAACAAATAAAATAAATATATATATATATATATATATATATATATATATATATATATATATATATATATATATATTTATATTTCCTTTTATTTTTATCGTCATCATCTTTCTCAAGGAATTTATGCATGCGTACGAAATACCCCCAATTTGAGATCCTCTGCTACGGTACTAATTTTTCTCGCCATCTTTCCGATTTCCTAATTCCGGCAAATCTCCGGCGTCGATCGGAACTCCTCCTCCATTTGTTCCTCTCATGGCGGGTACGCGTTCGATCCATTTCTTCAGTCAATTATTTATATTTATTCATGATGAGAACGAATGATTTTCGATTATTAATCATTAATGATCACCTCGGATCAGATAATAGTTTGTTAGTATGCGTTTATTTGAGTTTTCTGTAGTGTTAAAAGGATCAACATTGTCTGCATTTTGTTTTCGCCCTGTGTTAATTAGGTAGTGATATTTGGGACAAAATCTGTTCTGCTACAGCTGTGATTGGGTTCGTATTCTGATTTATGGATTGCATGATTGTTTTCGTAACCGTGTTTTGATTTTTAACGTTGTTGGAAATAGTGCATGATATTCCCTTTTGATTTCATTTTTGTCACGATGAACATTCAAAAATTGGAATATCAAATCATGGTAGTAAGAAACAATACAGTCTTTCAGTGTGTTTTTAGATGTTTCTTCCATGCATTTCGTTTTTGTTGAGACACATCAATTTTCTCGTCTAAGACGTCCGAATTCCGATTGCCCGTTCTTATATGTGTGTGTATGTATATTTATTCACCTCATTTTGTGTTGCAGCTGCTGAACTTCGATTAATTCGTGTTTGTTTTTTTGTGAAGTAAATGATTCTTCATAAGTAATATTTATGGCTCATTCTAATGACTTGGATATTGTATGTCCCAGATAAAAGCGACAATTGTTGTTCAACTCACCTGATAGACGGAGATGGTGAATTCAATGCTGGGGGAATTGATAATTTCATGAAGGAAGTTAAACTTGCAGAATGTGGGCTTTCTTATGCTGTAGCAGCAATAATGGGCCCTCAGAGTAGCGGTAAAGATTTTTGATTGATATGGGAGCATTGGTTTTGTGTTAATCAGTGCTGCCATCTACCATTAATTAATATGCCTAAAATATCTTGCGTGTTTTGACAGGGAAGAGTACATTGTTGAATCACTTGTTTGGTACTAATTTTAGAGAAATGGATGCTTTTCGGGGAAGGTATGCAATTATTGACTCGGCTCCCATGTTTTGACCAATTAGTTGTTTAAAAATACTGACACCGTCTGAATTCGAACAGGTCGCAGACTACGAAAGGCATATGGTTGGCACACTGTGTTGGCATCGAACCTTGCACACTTGTAATGGATTTAGAGGGTACCGATGGAAGAGAGCGAGGAGAGGTTTAGCAGATTTTCTACTTAATAACTTAATATTCTCATGCTCATTTGTGCATTTCATTGTTTATTACCTTCATTCCGGGTCTTGTGTCATTCCGATGCTTCATTTTCATTTGAACAGCTGCCCATTTTTAAGACTATGCCTTGTCATTTTGTCCAATAAGTAGAGAGTTACGTGACATAATCTTGCTTTTTATGCACCTTATTTTTGTATTGATTTACACATTCTCAAGAAATCTTTAACAACATGATTCGGACCCTGCCCATTAACCTATGCTTTGTATCCCGAGACATTGTATCATAAAATATGATACTTAGTCGCTCTGAAGTATCTTGTCATTTTTAAATGAATCAGTTACTACTTGTTGAACTGATAGTGCTTTAAATGTTTTGCTCCTTTTCAGGACGATACTGCATTCGAGAAACAGAGTGCCCTTTTTGCCCTTGCTGTATCAGATATAGTTCTGATAAATATGTAAGATTGTTGAGTTGAATAGAAGTGATCTAGATTTTGTTTCATTTTCATATTCAATTGTTTAGCTTTTTCTTAGTTTCTATCTTACGAAATTATAATGTTCAGGTGGTGTCACGATATTGGTCGTGAACAAGCTGCAAACAAACCTCTCTTGAAAACCGTGTTTCAGGTAAGCCATTTGTGCACTCTGTGCAAACCTTCAAAATGAATGTTGAAAGGTCTAATAAATTTTCGATGTGCTGTCAGGTTATGATGAGGTTATTTAGTCCACGTAAGACAACTTTGATATTTGTTATCCGTGATAAAACAAGGGTATGCTTTCCTCGGAATAAATATATAAACTTTCAAATAATGCCGCATTCGGTTCCTTAAAATTAATGTTAAGTCCCTGACATGATTTTGTTCAACTTTCTAGACACCGTTAGAAAACTTGGAACCCGTTTTAAGGGAAGACATTCAGAAGGTATTTCTCATGCAACTTTTAAATATATGCTTGATGTATTTTATTACAGTCGGTCTGATCTCTTCATGTTCCTCTTTTTGTGATCCTCCTGCTAAGATATGGGATGCTGTTCCTAAGCCAGAAGCTCACAGGGAAACTCCGTTAAGCGAATTTTTCAATGTAAGATGTTGAATATGTTGATAAGTTTGTCAAATCTTCTCATATTTAAACAGTGTGACAGGAATGTTCTCTTAAATCTTTGAATGGTAGGTAGAAGTCGTGGCTCTCTCTAGTTTTGAGGAGAAGGAAGAACAATTTAGAGAGCAGGTTCATACTGTTGTTTGAATTCTTGAAATTTGTGATTATTCTCCAAATGACTGTGTCATGTAGGAGCTGATCCCATTCTCCGGCCCATAGTAATGTTTAGGGCTTGATTTGGAGAATGGTGGATATTCACACTTACTTTATACGGAATCTCACATTACCTTAATGCTCTGTGTTTGTGTTGAAGGTGGCAAGTTTAAGACAGCGATTTTTCCATTCTATTGCACCCGGTGGGCTTGCGGGAGATAGGCGTGGTGTGGTTCCTGCTTCAGGATTTTCATTCAGTGCACAACAGATATGGAAAGTCATTAAAGAGAACAAGGACCTTGACCTGCCTGCTCACAAGGTTGTGATCTGAACATATTCTTAAGTTCTAGAATAAATGTCTGAAGGAGCTTTGTCATTAAAATGTTTGCTAGATGATTTGTAGGTAATGGTTGCCACTGTCCGTTGCGAGGAGATTGCTAATGAAAAGTTTTCTTCTTTCATTGAGAACGAGGTATTTTCACATGATATCCCCAGATTTTTATTTGAGGGTATTCTTTTATGTCTCCTTGAACTTTCCTAATTGTCAAATTATTCATTCATGCATGAAGGAATGGCACGAATTAGAACAGACAGTACAATATCAATCAGTGCCAGGGTTTGGGAGGAAGCTCACCTCAATTCTTAATGTTTGTCTATCTGAGTAAGTGATAATATTTGATTTGTGTTTTTTCTTCCAGCTCAATGGTTATTGTATTCAAATGTGAGCATTTTGGAAATTGTTGTGACTACATTGATAATTTTTCCAATTTCTTTATCACATCAGGTGAAATATGGCTTTTGTTTCTCGTCGTATTTTTTTGGTGAGGAAAAGGGCAAGTTTATTATGCCAAAAAACCATTAAAACATAAATTACAGAATCACAACCGAAGTTAATATATTTGCAATAGGTTTAAGGTTGGATTGACCTCTTCTGATTTTGGCATATGTGAATGGCTGAGTTTTTGTATTTGACATTGAGCTAGAGAAACAAATGGGTAAGACCACTGTTTAGAAACGTCCGTAGTGTTCAGATTACGGTGAACTAACTTTTCAGCAGAGATTTTCTTTTGTGCGTTGGTTAAAACCTAAATTTGAGTAAATGAGACATTTCTGTCTATATTTTATTTATTTGTCTTTCCAACGATAGGTATGACGCGGAGGCGACATATTTTGATGAAGGTGTCAGAACTTCAAAGCGGAAACAGCTGGAAGATAAACTTTTGCAAGTAATTTTTCTAAGTCTTGTCTTGTTAATTTTACTCTCATGCACTCAAATAAAGCCCATATTTGCATTAAACTGGAGTCCTTTTCTTTTACACATAGGCTGCCCTGTGCTATTTCTGGTAAATATGGCAGAGAAATGGCAAGACAGAAAATTCTTTGTTACCGAGTGTTGACATTTAGGATTTTAGATATACCAATATGTAGATTTCTATGCATTTGAGATTGTTGACAGCATGCAGTACCAATTTGATGGTAATACTTTGCAAAAGAAGCTGTGGAAAATGAAACATGCAGGTAGTTCTTTCTGTTTGAGTCTTTTATCTTTCGGTAATATAATATTCTTAAGCTTTACAGGCAGTGTTGTCCACAAAAATCACTGTTCAAATTCATAGCACACTGAAATAATAGCATTTAGATTAGCCCCATTCTCCGGAGTACTCCTGCCAGTTACTGCACCAGAAAGACAGTAGCTATTTAAACCGTTAAGATTGATAAGCAAGAATCTAACAGAGATGCAACTTGTAGTTTTTAAACTTTCTGAAGATAATTTGATCACAGCCATCAATTCTTTGCTTCTTTCACTTTTTGACCTTACAGTTTATCCCTTTTTTCGTTGCATTAGCTTGTCCAACCAGCATACCAGTTCATGTTGGGGCACATACGCTCTGGAACTTTGGATAAATTCAAAGAAGCATTTGATACTGCCTTGAAGGAGGGAAAAGGATTTGCTTCAGCTGCACGTGATTGCACTGAGTATTCTATCTTGCAGTTTGATGAAGCGTCTGCAGGTACTGTTATTGGCATTTAACATAACATCCAACATCCAAGTTAGGGGTTTGTGCAATAACATGATAACGTGGACATTTAGGTACATCATCTTTGAGGTTTAAATACTATATTGCGGCTATCATTAAATATTCCTTGCTGTTCAGAAATGTGCATGTCCTCAATGTGTACCATTATAGTTAATCTTGAGAAAATTGTTTTATCATGTAATAAATAAGCTATTCTCAATGTTCAATAGTGGATACATTGGATAGACTGGGAAGCATTTGAGCAACTTGGTCATTTTGATTGATTACTTTATGGTTCGCAGGTGCGGATATTGACCAAGCAAATTGGGACTCTTCAAAAGTAAGAGAGAAACTCCGGCGTGATATAGATGCTCATATTACTGCAGTGCGCGGGGCCAATTTGTCTGAACTCACATCCCTGTATGAGGTATGATATAGTCTCTTATTAAATCCTTGTCTAGAGTCCAGTGAGGCTATTGTTGCCTATTGGAGTTGCTGTAAGTTGTTTGAAGACAATGAAATTTGGTCCTACTACGTTTTATCACTATGTATAATTTACATTCATCAAACTTGAGGACTGCTAAAATCTAGCTGTAATACTCTGTTGGTTCAAAAAGTTGACTAGTGAACTAGATACTTGGTGTGCAATCATGGTGGCCACAAATTTTGTTTGCCTTTCTTTTGGGTTCTGTAATGCAAAGATTTCCAACTAATAAATTTCATTTGCAGACGAAACTGAATGAGGCATTGGCGGACCCTGTAGAGGCTTTGTTTGATGGAGCCAGCAATGATACATGGCCAGCAATTAAAAAACTTCTCCGGCGCGAGACTGAAACAGCCGTTACTGGGTTCTCTAATGAACTTTTGGGTTTTGAAATGGATGAGGCAACAAAGAATAAAATGCTCTCAAACTTGGAGAATCATGCAAGAGGAATAGTTGAAGCGAAGGCGAAAGAAGAAGCTGGAAGAGTTTTGATCCGTATGAAAGACAGGTGCTTGGTGGTTATTTTTTCTTTAATTATCATGACCAAGATCATATTGCAATTTTGATTTTATTTTTCATGTTTTTATCAATGAGAAATGACCAGAATACTCTTGACAGGTTTTCAACCTTATTTAGCCACGATGCAGAGTCAATGCCACGGATCTGGACTGGAAAGGAAGATATTCGAGCAATTACTAAAACTGCTCGCTCTGCTGTATGATATTCTTTACTATGACTTCTTGTGGTACTATTGGTCTTACAAAGGGTTATTGATCTTTTCTTTATTTATCTTTTTTTCTTCCCTGGGTTAGTCTGTGAAGCTGTTATCTATTATGGCTGCTATACGTTTGGATGATGAAGCCGACAATATCGAGAGTACCTTGTCCCTTGCTCTTGTGGATCCCAAAGCTTCGGCTTCTTCCAATAAGAGTATTTCCGCGGACCCTCTTGCCTCAAGCACTTGGGATAAGGTAGTTTAGCTATAGTCACTATTAAGTCCAATAATACGATACACACCGAGTCCAATAATACACTTCTGCGAATACCCTTCGGTTAACTTCTTTACTACTCAGGTTCCATCATCAAAAACCTTGTTAACACCTGTTCAGTGTAAATCTCTGTGGAGGCAGTTTAAAACGGAGACTGAGTATACTGTTGGTCAAGCCATTGCTGCTCAGGTAAACTTACATATGTAGACTGCAGCCTGTAGTGCTTTGAAACGCACGATTTCATGCATGTGTCATGTTATAACACTTCTGTGGGGACGAAATTTTCTTTTCACATTGTTTCTTGAACTAGATTATTGTTGGCTGGACCTTCGTAAGTAATTACTGAGTTTTAATTATTTTTAAACTATCAGGAGGCTAGCAGGCGAAACAACAACTGGCTACCACCTCCATGGGCAATTCTCGCATTACTTATACTGGGTTTTAATGAATTTATGACCCTTTTGAGGTATAGTTATACTGTTTTCTTTTTAATCTTCTTTTTTTTTTCCGGTATCCATCTTTTTGAGTCTCATTTGCTCGATAGATGCATTGCATGTTTTTGTTGTCAGCTACTTACAGATTTTACTCATGCCACGGTTTCTTTTTTGACAGAAATCCTTTGTATTTGGGGGTCATTTTTATTGCTTTTCTGCTATTTAAAGCCCTTTGGGTGCAACTAGACGTCGCTGATGCATTCCGCAATGGAGCCGTAAGTGAACTTTCTTCAAATATTATTTTTCTGCTATTCGACTTATTCGCCGAGTACTCCTTTTGCTTTGACTGTATAAAAGAATAACATGGGATAGTTAATATATTATCTATGTGATTGCCTAATTGTTGAAGTTTCTGGCAAGCAAAATTTATCTGATCCGTTATCGCTTTCCAGACTACACTAATAAAAGACTTTCTGCAGTGAGTTTTTTCGTCGTGAGAACCATGATTTAACAAAGATTAATATTTCTTTTGACACGTACAGCTGCCTGGCATTCTCGCATTATCCACCAAACTCGTCCCTACTGTAATGAACATTCTCAAAAAACTAGCGGACGAGGGCCAAACGAGCGGCGGCAGTGCTGCTCCTCAGAACAACCCTCCACCACCACCAAAGACCCTGCAAAGTGGTTTGTCATCAAGTGCTTCCTCTGAGGTAATTTCATCTGAAAATAAAAATGAATACTCCAGTCCCTCTACACATCAAAAATTGCAGTAAACTCCCTCCCAACTTATTCTTGTTCGGCCATTTGAAACGTAATCCAGCGTTAATATCCCATCGATTTCCACGGTTTTTATTTTTATTTTTATTTTAGCAGTGAGCAATGAAAAAACGTTATTGCACAGGGGGGCTGGAATGTTACGGAAATTGCCCCCCGTTAGTAGTTTTACTTTTCTCCGGCGAAGCTAATCCGCAAGGTTTTTACTAGCATAGCCTTGATCGTGATTGTTACGCTTCGCCTTCAATTTTGTATCGTTGCAAATTAAATTCAGCACGTACCAATTTTGGTGAAAATTTAATATAAAGTTTCAATTCTACAATACAAATGTTTATCTGTTTTTACATACTACACAACTTGCAACCGTACAATTCTATCCAGTTTCATAGATGCTACAACTGGTGAAATACATTGTAGCTGGTGAAATACATTGTGTTTTTTTTGGACTTTTGACTTGCACACAATCACACACATATATATATGTGTGAATGTGTGTATATGTATGTACTCTACTCAATTAATCCTACACCAACTAATCCCATCTTCCAAATCAAGAGAGCACTTAAAAATGGGTAGGATTGCTTTATATCTATTCATCAACCACCTCCATTAAGTGAGATAATTGATCGTTTTATGTCAATGTTTTTTAAGTCGAATTCATTGTACACGACTTGCTCAATGCAAATTTACATCCCTTATATAGCTAGCGAGTTATTGCAGGACACTGAAATTTACTCGATTCATACATGTGGTTGCGAGTTTCTAAAATTGTCTCGTCTTCGATTATTTTGTCCAATCTATAACATGCAAATTGCAATATATCAATTACATTTTTTGCATCTCCTTTTTTCATACTTTTTCGCCATTGGTTCCTCTGTGGACCTTCCACAAAGTGAAAGCATCTACCATTCTTGAATTTATTTTTAAAAAAAAATTATTTTTTGTTTTTTACTTTTAAGTTTTATTAACTACCATTCTTGAAATTCTAATTGACATCACATGTAAAAAGTGGTAGGTATACAATGCTGAATAAATCAAAATCACGGGTTGAGGACAATTTCAGCAACTTTAATTTCTTATACGTATATTTTACATCATTTAAATTTTAAACTACCAAACCCCCCCCTTTTTTTTTTTTTTTTTTTTTTTTTGAGAAAGCCAAACCCCTTTTATTATATCAAAAAATAAATTAAATTAAATTAAAAAAAAAAAAAAGAGGTTGTGCCTTTAATTATAGTTT